ACAGAGGCCCCCACGCAGTGCAGGGCAGTGGCGGGCAGCGGAGATCGCCACCCCCCTCCTCCCACCTGGCAGCAACCAGTGAGTGCCGGGCTTTTTTATCTGAAGAGTCGGGGGACTGGAGCCAGGTGGGGTGGCCACTGACAGGGCTGGGAGACCAGGTGGAATGGGGCCTGTCCGATTCGGAGAGTCAGCCGATTTGGTGGCAACCATATCTCCGAATCAGATTTGGCCGAATTGATTCAGGACAGTGATTCAAATCACCAAATTGAATTAGTGTCTCCCAAATTGGCTGAAGCCAAATCCAAAGCGAATACTAGCCGCTTTGCACAGGCCTATTATTCATGGATATGTTCAAATATAAAAATGATGGTACCAGAATTTAACTCTTTTGCAAGTGTCAGAAAAATCATCAGGATTTGAGGCTCACTTTTTCATTACAGGAGACCAGTTACTATCTTCATATCAAGTCAGCAAATTAATAGCCTTCTTTACACGGCAAAAATTAGAACTAATAAATCCTACAGTGAATCTTAATACTTTCAATAAATGCTTGTAAATGTTAAACTTAAATTTCATCGAGTCATTCTGTTCCTATTTTCTTTCAAGATTTTTTGGTCATTAATTGCACATGCACCCTAACATCTTCATCCATCTGCAGAAATCCCAGGTTTTATAGGGTGTTTCTGTGCCATCTTTTTTTTCCTCCACTAAATTTTGTAAAAATTGTATAAAATATGTACTCTATCCTATATTAACAGATACTAAGGGCCATTTTTTTTCAAATAAGCCACCCAGGCTGGGGGCAGAAGTTACACATAAACCAGCATAAGTGATCAGAAACAGGTTTAGATCTGTAACACAACAAAGTTCAGTACACATAAACCACTTTCAAAATGGCCAAAAAAGGTTTAAGATAAACCTGGATGGATGTAGTATCAGATTTAACTGATTTAGGTTAAATTGGTTTATTAAACTTCTGTCCAAGATCCCCTCCAGATTCAAGTTAACTCACAGTCCCCCAGCATCCCAGGATATTGTGCACCTCCCCCACACATTCCCCTCCACCCCCACCCCCCATTGCAGGGTTGGCAGGCTGAGTTTGGCCCAAGCTTTCTCCTCCAGCCAAGCAAGGCATGTTCTAGCACCCCCACCTTCTGGCCTGAGCCGCTACAGGCATGTGGCTGCATTTCCAGAATCAAAAGTGAATGTCTGTTCACTTGCTTATTGTTTCAATCTACACAGCTTAAACTAACCTGCAAAGATGGAATTGATTCAGCCTTGAGCTTTTTGACAGTCTGTACTGTCATAAAATTGTGCATTTTATGCACAAATTAGTATGATTGTAAATGGAGGTGGACATATGGAAATTGCAATCTGCATGTGCTCTGGAGTTTTCCTTTTTTTGTGGAAATATAGGAGCACAAACCCATGTGTTACAATGTGTACTAGGAAAACTCTGTATTTTTTAAAATTTGATGCAAAATGGATAAAGAAGTCTCCTCATCTTCCTTTTTCTTTAAAAAAAAAAGGCCTTTCAACTGACCTTACTGCTGATTTGACTTCTATTATTCTCTCTAATAGTCCCCATAATAGTTGTGGCTTTACCGTGTATCTCCAGGTTAGGCATACAACAGGTTGGTTTAGGAATTTAATACGGTTAAATATACCAGTATACATGCTCTGTCAACATTTTTCCTTCTTAGTGCCATTTTGTTTCCAGAGATAACAACACCTACAACAGCCCTACAAAGAACTAACAGATCTACATTTTGTCCTTTATGTTGCTATGCAGCTACTGTTGACATCAACAAAAGCCATACATTCCTGCAGCTGAGAGTGGAGGTTCATGTTTTTATGCAAAGAGTCAAATCAATTGGGCCAGCTGGAATTCTGGTGATTTACAGTATGTGAAGATCTGTCTCAAAGGTTTTGACAGAATTTTCTGAGTTTGCTATCTTGGGTCTACTGCCATGTTTCTGTGTCTTTAAGTAGTCCTTTCAAGGTAGAATATATACATCTTGACATTGTCATTGTAGTTAGACATTTTGTTCACACTATTATAGTAAAAGACAATCACTGATAGTATCAGATGGTAAAGGGATTGCTAATGTCTGCTTCATGTGGTATTTTGCATATTTTTCCTTTTGGGGTTTTGTTTGTTTGTTTTTTAAATTGGGATAGCTTGCATTTGGAAAAAAAGGTTAATTTCCTCCTAAGAAGCACATGCAGACAAGAGAAGAGCAGTTTGATGTAATTGTAAATGAATATGAACTTTATTCAGATAAAGTTATTCACCTTACTTCTCTGCTTCAAAATACAGCATGTGAAAATCCAAAGGACAGATGAAAATGCTGAGAAGTCTTCCATTGAAGTCCTAGATGCTCACACATGTCTAACAAGGCTAATTTCATTTTTCTTCCTTGACAGGAGTTGAAGACAGTGCTGTCCTTCCCCCAGTACCCAGGGGAGTTCCTGCACCCTGTGGTATATGCATGTACCGCAGTTATGCTATTGTGCCTCTTCGCGTCCATTATCACCTACATTGTGCACCACAGGTAAAAATTCAATTTGAAGCACATGGACATTCATGTTAGTGGCTGCCACATTGAACTGAAGACAACCTTGTTTTTCCCTTCTTTTAGCCAAAGTGAAGTGCTTCAGTGAATTTAGTTACTGTCAGCTGCTAAAACCCACAGTATAATGTTGCCAAACAAGAATGTGAAATGGCATTTCACAAATATTTTTTTTTAAGTTTCCACAAAGCATACGTTCTATCATATTTATACTTGGATCTCTGAATGAAAAGGGAACTGAACTTTTCCTTCAAAACATTTGCAGCATGATCCCAGTGCAAGGTCCTCTAACAGTAACTTAGTGAAATGTGTCCTTTTGCACTCCTTTTGAAAAGTACACAACAAATACACGTGCATCTTAGAATACCTACAGAAATGCAAAATGCTATGACTAGAAAGCTGCAAAGCTATGAACCATTACAGTGGCTATGTCCCAAGCTGTAGTTTCTGCTGAGTAGCCGCTCTAAATGGCTTTATGCTGTTCTGAAAGTTCCTTATTTCCTTTATAATGTGACACTGAAAACAAAGCTTTGTGATACGATCTTATATATGGTCTTATATTACTTGATGCTAACTTCAAGTTCTTCAGTAATACCTCTGAAAGAAGTGTTGATATCCAAGAACAAGCTTATGTAAATACGTATGTGTAAAAAATATATTAACATTTCCCGTTTTAAAGTCTGTTTGGTTTTAGAAGTTTGTTTCTATTTACAGTATGTAAATAATGTCTATGTTGCCATTTTAACCATATACAGTAACTAAACATCATTAACAATTTTTATATTGTTAATGATGTTTAGTTACTGTATAGGAGTTGTACTATAGAAGAGGCTAAATATTAAGAGTGTACTTAATGCACTGAATTTTGATTCATATCTTCCATTTAATCCTTCAGAGTTGTCATGTTAAACTACTATATGTCTGACATCACATCCTGCAGTAAGCCATTTATATATATTCCTTTTCATTCAGGACCTGATTCAAAGCCCATTGAAATCAGTAGAAACTTCCCACCCCCATTGACGTCAACGGGATTTAAATCAGGCCCTCTATTCTGTAGGTAGCCTTGTGTTCAGGAATCTGAGGCCTCAGATCTATTAAGCTAAATATATCTTCTCCAAAAGTGTGGTTTTTTGCTATAGACATGTAATTTTTTTAAATGTTAATTTTGAACAGCACAATCCGAATCAGTAGAAAAGGATGGCACATGCTGCTCAACTTCTGCTTCCATACGGCTCTTACTTTTGCTGTTTTTGCTGGTGGAATCAATCGTGTTAAATACCCAATTATATGTCAAGCTGTAAGTATCTTTATTACTTTATTCTTATTTTAAAAAGAGAAGAAGCCTTGAAGCTGTTCATTTCAACATAATGCTGATAGCCTTCTTTCTTATCAAAGATTCTTCTAGGTTCTAGCAAACGTATCCATTGTTAGGAGAAATCATCATATGGTCTGCTAAAGCACAACACTGGACAGCAGGAACTCTGAATTCAGTTTTTGGTTCTGCTGCTGAGCTATTGTGTGAACCTAGGCAAATACATTAACTTTTGTCTTTGTGAAAAAAATATTTCTTTGTGAAAATTAAATGTTTTCTCTGCTCCATGGATGAAGGTGCATAGTTAAAAGCACTTTATTACTGCTGTGGCTAACTATCATTGAAGAAAATGTACGTGTGTGTGTGTAAACCTTTCAGCCTTGTAAAGGAGGCCCCTGGGGCCCAATGTGTGATTACAGAATATATTTTGGGGTAACGTTAATGTTTAAAATATAATTACATCTTTAAGATCAACTCAAAATAGGTAGACAGTGTTATGTCATGCTGACCCAGAGAAGGTTTGGAAAGGAAGTGTGTGCTAGGGAACTTCACTGAGCAAACTCGCATGCAATAGGTGCTATGCAGGTTGTACTGTCCCCATCTCAACATCTTGCTTCATTTTTATGTGGAGATATGCGTTCCCTGAGATGCACAGACAGAGCAGTCCTTATGCTGCCCTGGATACACGCAGTGAGACTTTGACTGGCCCCTATACAGAATATGAAAAGGAGAGGACTGTTTCAGCCTTTCTCCCTTAGTGAAGCTTTATGGCTAGGGACAGACATTCAAAAGCCCAAGCCTGAATTGATTCCATCTTTGCAGGTTAGTTTAGCCTGCAGAGAGTGAATCAGTTTCCAAATGGATAGATGTTCCCTTTCTGCACGTGCCTGCAGTGGCTTAAGCCAGAAGCCCGGGGGCACTAGAGCAGCCCTCCCTTCCACAGGTAGGCTGAACTGAGGCGGGGGCATGGCCAGGCCCCGGCAGCAATCCCGCACCCAAGGCTGCCCGGCCCCGGAGGGGAAGTCTTCTCAGTCCGCCCTGGCCCCCAGCGCTCCGCGCTCAGGAGGAGGGTCCTGTTCCGTGCTGGGGGGCTCCTCATCCTCCCCCTCCCCTGCTTGCGGTGAGGTGGGGAGGGGGGCTCTGTGAGGCTGCCTGGCCCCAGAGGGGGGCGCTTCCCCACACTTGTCGCCCCAGGGCAGGGGGAGGCTCTGTTCCATGCTGGGGGGAACTCTTCCCCCTTCTCATCCTCCCGACAGAGGGTCAGCGGGAGCACGGAGCCCAGCTGGGCAGGGTGTGGGTGTGAGGATGGGGAGTGTAGGGCCCGCGCACACTCCCCCATGGCGTGCCGCCCCCGTGCCTGGCAGTAGCAGCAGGCAGGGAGGTCGTGCCCCGTGCAGGTGCAGGTGCAGCTCCAGCCAGCGCTGCATGCAAAGGAGGGAGCGGAGCCTGCCCCATCGTTGGGGCTCTGGCCCCGCCCCGCCTGCAGCTTCAGCACACACAGTGGGGGAAGCCCCGCACTGGAGCCTGCTGCTTTCCCTCCCCCTGCTGCGCAGGTCCCCGCACTCTGCCGGGGCGGGAGGGAGCTCTGCCCCTTGCTCCTGCGTGGCGTCCAGCACGGGGCTTCCTCTCTGTGCGGAGCTGCAGGCGTGCGGTGTGAGGCCCCTGCAATAGAGGCAGCCAGCACTGTGCTGGGGCGAAGAGCGCAGCCGCGCCAGCCTGCCCAGCCACTTCTTTCCCTGGGGCTCCTGGCTGCGTGCCTGCAGCTCCCCACTCACAGGAGAAAGCCCCGTGCTGGACTCTGAGCAAAGCAGGGGGCAGAGTGCAGGGACTGGCAGAGCAGGGGCAGGGGAAGCAGCAGGCTTCCCCCTCTGCTGGTCTGCACTGAAGAATTCCATTCAGAAAATATCTGTGAACACAACACTGTTCTTATCAAACAGCATTAGCACTGAAACCTGTAATCTGAAGTATGTATTCTCCTTCCCTTCAACAGTTTATGGTCCTGAGACCCAGGTCAGTAGAACAAGCAAATGGATGTTCTCTGTTTGTTACTTTTGGTGGAACTGAGCCTACATAATAAAGCCACATTAATAACATTAGAAGTTCTGTACTCACTTGTAATTAAAAAAATGAACAGAGCTTTATAGTTTGATCATTTAAGGGGATAAAACATTCCCAGTAATAAATCTTCTCTGAGACCAATGGCTCAACTTCCTTTGTTATCTAATTTATAAATGATTCTCTTGGCTTGAGACAACGTCCATTCTTTTAATTACAAATATTATATCTTCATTCACATATTATATTTCAGTTGATAATATTATATCTTCATTCACATATTATATTTCAGTTGATAATATGATCGTATGGTTAAGGGCTTGCAGGCCAAGCCCTATGAGGAGAGACTGCGGCACCTGGACCCCTTCAGCCTCCGCAAGAGAAGGTTGAGAGGCGACCTTGTGGCTGCCTATAAGTTCATCACAGGGGCACAGAAGGGAGTTGGTGAGGTTTTATTCACCAAGGCGCCCCCGGGGGTTACAAGAAATAATGGCCACAAGCTAGCAGAGAGCAGATTTAGACTAGACATTAGGAAGAATTTCTTCACAGTTAGAGTGGCCAAGGTCTGGAATGGGCTCCCAAGGGAGGTGGTGCTCTCCCCTACCCTGGGGGTCTTCAAGAGGAGGTTAGATATGCATCTAGCTGGGGTCATCTGAACCCAGCACTCTTTTCTGCCTATGCAGGGGGTTGACTCTTTCCTGCCTATGCAGGGGGTCAGACTCGATCTATTGAGGTCCCTTCCAACCCTAGCATCTATGAATCTATGATGATTCAGAAAATGTTACTATTACTCTTCTTAGCACTCATAATTTCTCAGCAGGCATACTAAAACACTAGAATATAAACTTCCTTTTTTTTGCATCATATAATATTCTTATTAGGTAAAATTTCATTGAGATACAATAGAATAGCAACCCAGGGAAGGCACAATAAATTATCCATCATACTTTGCATTATTCCTGACTGAGGAAAGCAAACAAAACAGGGAATTCTGTCCATTTTTTATGAAGCATTTATTGTCATTGCATGGGTGATATTAAAATAGTATTTGACCTACTGTTAGTATAGTTTGTACTTATTGTGTAAGTGTGTTTTTAAATGAAATCTACTTTAATAGAGTGGTAAAATATTTTGGATCTTTGTAATGTGCCAGTGAAGATTTTTAAGACTAGACTTACTAATGCATTCACTGGAAGTTACTATATTTACCCAAATCCAAGACAACTCTGAATTTAAGATGACTCCCCAATAATTAGGTTCTATACATAGTGGAAAAGCAGTAGCAGGGAGGCAGGTAGTGGGGAAGCAGGCAGTGAGGCGGTAGAAAGGGGTAGGCAATGGGGATGTGGTAAGAGGGCACGTGTTGTTAGGGTTCAAACAGGCTGCCCCTTGCCTCCCACTTTATCCCCTGCCACCTGTCCCCTCCACCCCTTTCTCCTTTCTGTCCCCCCCATTGCTGCCCCCCTGCTGCTGCCCTGTTCTATGCTTGCACCTCTAGCACACGCAATCCCCTTTGTGCCTTCTTCCCCCTGCAGCCTCTGTTCCCCCTCCACCTCTCCCCTCCCAGCACTTATCTTTCAGCTCCATCAGGGCTCCAGCCCCACGCCTGCCCAGTTGCTCTGGCTCCAGTCTGGTCCAGTAGCAGTGGCAGTAGCTCCAACCTGAGCTCTGGGGCCCAGATATATTTGTACATGACTTTCAACAACATCCATAAAGATTATGAGCTTCTTTAATGCAGCAAATGCATTTAAGGATGTCTGTTATATGACATTATTTTATATGACACAGTTGAATATTTAATTATTCTGAGACAAATATCTCTTAATATCTAGTCAATTGCATAGTAATTAATCTCTGAGTTGCAGCAAATCTAAACATCATTTATCATTTTCTTTATCCATAGTTAGCAATTCAAGGTAGAGGATTAGTTTGTAGGGCAGCCATGGCCATGCAATTATATAATCACAAATGACCATCTGTTCTTATAATCATTGTCTGGTTATTTACCTTCCAGTTTGCATGGTAACAGTGCACTATTAACAGTGATAATGAAAAATGGATTTAGCTAAATGAGTTAATAATTCTGTTATGAGTGTCTCTAGTGGGTTATGGAATAGAGAAAATCCCACACAATTTACTGATTCGTTTTGATGCACTGGCTGGGGGAGTAGTTAGCTGATTGCACGATTTCACAATGATTACACACTTAATTCATACAACACAATTTTATTTTAAAACTCTTTGCTACGTATATAACACTGCTTAGCTTTAAGAAACACCACAAACATTAAAAACACAATAATTACATATATCAGAAACAATGCTCCGAATGCACTTCCTTCCCAAACAATGCTATAAGAATTAGTGTTACAAAAACAACTACAATTACAACTAAAAGTTAAATTTGAATCAATACTATTATTTTTCATAATATACTTACAATCCTAGAATTCCGAGAAGCCAAATACCAAAATATTGTTTCATTCCTCAGTAGTACGATTTAATGGGTTGGCCTCAGTAGTATGGTTCAATAGGCTCGCCTCAGTAGTACGGTTCAATAGGCTGGCCTCAGCAATACGATTCAATGAGCTGGGCTCAGCAGTGATAGGACTAAGTCCCCTTCCTTCAGTCCCTTTTGGGTGCTCTGCGGCTTCAGAGTGAACTAAGATTCGTGTTCACGGAGAGGTTGGGTCAGGTGATCAGTCTGGTCCGGGCTACACTTGCGATTCTTCCTTCGTTGTTCTGCAAGTGAAGTCACCTCCAAATTGGGACAGTAAGTTACAGGTTTTTATTGAGTGAGCTGCCATCAGTGGGCTCCTCCTACTCAATTTGTCATAACTCCCAAATTTGGGCTCGGATCTTACTCAACAGATTCTTTTGTTGAGCATTTTAAATTACTCTTGGGGAGACTTCTTCCATATCACTGTAAA